TGATTTTCTTATGATCCTGAAGACATGCTTGCTCAGGTGTGTTTGATTAAGGTTAGAACTAATATCTACAGGAAAGTGGATCTCGTGATCCAGATTTGAGGATCCCTGGCCTATATGAAACAACAGGTTCTGAAAAGGTCTCTTTTGGTTTGAGCCATTCCAGTTCAATTGAGTGGCTAAAGAATGGCCAGTCAATGTTGTTTGTATTCTCCTAGTTGCATTACAGGGCTTGCCTACTCAAAACCTGCATGGGCCCAAAAGATACAGAAGTTGCTCTGGGTCCGAACGGGCTGGCCCACATTGGGCCATCATGGGATTAATGTGGGCAGTCCGCTAGTGTGGGCTGCTCACAGAGAGCCTGCGGTGAGCCCAAAGCTGTGGGCCTTGCGTGGGCAAGCTCTCACTGGGCCTGTTTAGGTTTGGTGTGGGCTGGTCCTAGCCCACTGTGCCCGCAAAAAGCCAGCATGGGCCCCGCAAGGACATGTTCGCAGGGTTGCTTCAACAATTTTCCTTTCAAAACAAGATAACAATACTACCTCTACTCGTCTGCGGCGTGGTCGAGACTGGGTAAAGTCTGTGCTCTGCCTCTTTTTGCCCTCCTCTCCAAACATGTCCTCTACCAGACTATCCATCCTGCTCTCTTCTGCACTGATTTCTACCCTGTGCATTTCTGTCATGTCCTTCCCTCCCTGCATTTCTTGACCATGTCTTTCCTCCGTGCTTACATCTGCTATGTCTTCCTCATCTTTTCTCCCTTCTCCCCTCTCCTATTCCATGTTCTCAGATGTGGGCTGAGAAGAGATAACTGGAAGGAGGAAAGTCATAATGTGATAGTACCACCAAGGACGTTTCTGGACATTGAAGGACATTGAAGATCTCGATGAAGTTGTTTATTGCAGCATAGCAGTGACAAAGTACATGTTGCACCTTGGGTTCAACGGAGTCGGAATGAACCCTGAACATCCTAAGCTCAAACATTTTATACAGTTACAGTTTACTACCCTTAATGTAAATGAAGTTGCTCCTGTCGTAACAGCTGTAGTCTGTATGTTAATTAAGTTCTGACACCCCTTTGTCTGAGGTGGTTCTTGGTATCCCACACCTGCTCCCAATCTACAATAGACCTATCGGTAAGCCCCCCTTAGTTACTGTTGCTCCCTCGGACAAACAAACGGAGCTGCTCACTCTCTTACAATGACAGCTGTCAGTGTGAAAACCTTGTCCCACTGTGTTTTTGAACAATTTTGGACACAGAAGGACCACCATTCATTTTGGAATTAAATATGCCATGGAGGGATATATAAAATATTTTTAAATAAATATGGTGGATAACTCGAAGCCAGGGTTTACAGATCGCAATGCAAGCAGGAGAAATATTACGGTCGTCACGATCATGGATGACAACATCCCGGAACAACATGTATCGCAGGGTACAATTAAATGAATGTACATTTAACCAGTTTAATATGGAGAGGCACTGAAATGTAAATATAATTAATAATTAATTCATTACATTTATATAGCGCTTTTCTAGGCACTCAAAGCACTTTACATTGTCAGGGGGTATCTCCTCATCCACCACCAGTGTGCACCATCCACCTGGATGATGCGACGGCAGCCATAGTGCGCCAGAACACCCACCACACACCAGCTTACTGGTGGAGAGGAGACAGGGTGATGAAGCCAATCAGCAGATATGATGAACTTTAACGTTAGTTTTAGCCAGTGATACCTTACTGAAACGCAAGATGACATTAACGTTCTGCTTGAGCATATGAAAATTGTAACTTAATGAGAGTATGACAACAAGAAAATGACAATTTGTCTTGATTGGGGTTGAATGCTTAGGGACATTTTGCTCAGTTTTGTTTGGGTTTAGGAAATGTAATAAAATAAATTATATTGCATATCATCTCAGGATACCTGGAATACATGTTACAAGTACCCCAGGCACACCATTTTTAATTTTTTGTAGCATAAACACCATCAAAGCGATGCAAGCTTTGGATCTTCCAATGTTTCTCTATGCTGCTGAAACCTAAAGATGTCCGAGTTCCGCTCCCCATGCAACTGATACTCGACTGCCATTGGCTAATCTGCGTTCGAGGGGAGGGGCTTACCGATAGGTCAATTGGTCACTGTTTGCTCAGGATGTGATCATCCCATATGGTCTAGAAACAACATAACTGTTGACTTTCTTCTTTTCTATAATAATTAAGCCATTTTGGGAAATGAGCATGGTCAAACATATACAGGTGCATCTCAATAAATTAGAATGTCATGGAAATGTTCATTTATTTCAGTAATTCTACTCAAATTGTGAAACTTGTGTATTAAATCAATTCAATGCACACAGACTGAAGTAATTTAAGTCTTTGGTTCTTTTAATTGTGATGATTTTGGCACGCATTTAACAAAAACCCACCAATTCACTATCTCAACAAATTAGAATACTTCATAAGACCAATAAAAAAAAACATTTTTAGTGAATTGTTGGGCTTCTGGAAAGTATGTTAATTCAGCTCATCTGCATTTTTTGGTCTCATGAGGAGTGGGGGGACGGGGTGTCAGAATATTTTAAACTTACGTGTGAAAGGGTTAAAAGCACCAATAAAAAAAACAAAGCAATTCTTTTGATAGGCAAATGTATTTCATCTTATTTTTTATTTTTTTCCATGTTACATAAATAAACACATTTCATACCCAGTTTATTTATTTGCACTCACTTTTCATTGGGCTTACATTTATTGAATGCAACATTTAATTATGTCTTCAATCATTTTGTGGTATATTGATGTGTTTTATATTGGCTTCAGGTTATTTCAAGCTGAATTTCATTTTGTATCTAATTGTTCTTCTTTTTAAGGTGATTTTTTTTCATATTACATGAACAGATATGCCTTATTGATTTAGTTTTGCTTACATTTCATTGAACTGTTACATTGTCCTTCGCAACATTTTATAATGTATTTAATAATTTAATTATATATTTCATTTAATCACTTCATAGTTAACTAAATCGTTATGTATTTTTATGTAAACTATCATATTTTGTACATAACAATTTTTACTGTCAACTACAGATGCTGCACCCATTGTCCACCATATTTTCTCACTAAAATCCTCACATATTATGTCTCTAATTCTGAAACAATAGGCTCAAAGAAATTACAGTTTCCTATTCAGAATGTTTTCAAGGTCTTTTTTTATATGAAAATATATTCATTGCAATGTCTGTAACACATTTTGCTTGTCTTTTATTTTTTATCTCAAATTAAAAATAGCTACATTGTTGGGAGTTGATTATGCTGACTCCAAAGAAAATAGATACCTTATTTGTGCAGAATCTTTTAATCTCTCTGTCAAAACATTTTTGACATTATTTTTAACCAAATATATTTGTCGAATATTTTAGTGCTTATTAAAGCACAATGTAATAATAATAATAATGAGTACCGTGCTTTAATAATTACTGCCTCCCTTGAATGATCCTCAGAATCCTCAAGTGCCTTTTTTTGTGAAGTGTTGGTAATTATATACTGACAAAAGCACTGTTATATTTAATGTTTAATGGATGTTAATAATTATATTAAAATGGTTGGTCGACATTATCGACAACATGGATAATAAAAACATGTCAACAAATGTTATTGTTGTTGACTAATCATTTCATCTCATATGACCTAATATAAGGGCTTGCGATAATGCAGGTTAACCAGTGTGGTGCTGTACGGCAAGACTATAATTCAGCCCTCCATGCTGCAATCCAATAGAAGAAGACACAGTTATGAGTCGTGCAAACAAAGCAGAACCAATAAAGTGTGGGAGAGTTTTACAAAACTACAAACACAAAGTGCTGTTATGTGTAAAGTTCCCAGTATACTCACAGCTAAGTTCTTTTTCGTTCTTTGGTTATCTATTATTCTTTGGAATGTGTAAATATGTGCTGCATACTTTCTTCTAAATAACAATAAACACTCAACAAACATGACAGCGGTGAGAAAACAGCATTTAAGAAAGTATCTGATCATAGCCTTGTGCATATGTTTGCATCAGTTCTGTAATCGGCACTCTGTAAAGTACGATGGCATTTTAGTGCAAAAAAAAATCTAAGATTACAAGATTAAAGTTGTAATATTTTGAGGAAAAGACAAAATTATGAGAATAAAGTCATAGCATTATGAGAATAAAGTTGAAATATTTTGAGAAAAAAGTCAAAATTACGAGAATTAAAGTTGTAGCAATACTAGAATAAAGACTAAATATTTTGAGAATAAAGTCAAAATTATGAGAATAAAGGTCGGAATATTTTTAGAATAAAGTCAAAATTGTGAGGAAAAAAGTCAAAATATTTTTAGAATAAAGTCAAAATTCAGAGAATTAAATCATAGCAATTATGAGATTAAAGTTATAATATTTTGAGGGTATAACCTATATTGCGCATGCAAATTGCCTGCATTACAAATAATGAATGCAATCGAAGACGTGAAATATTATTTCCAAGTATACTGTCCCTGCATGGTATGATTTCTGCTAATAATCCCACACATATTCAAATCAATGTCCTGGCAACATTTTCCGGTGCTCCGAATCCGGCAATTTGCATGCACAATATATACTCTCATAATATTATAACTTTAATTGCTACGATTTAATTTTCTTAATTTTGACGTTATTCTCAAAATATTTTGACTTTCTCATAATTTTGACTTTATTCTTGAAACATTTCAACTTTATTCTCGTAAATTTGAATTTATTCTCAAAATATTATGACTTTAATCTCATAACTTTAGATTTTTTAAATGTGGCACTAAAACGTTGTCATAGTAAAGTCACGTCATGTTTATTTCTATAACACTTTATGCAATATGTGTAGAATATGTATAACTCAATATTTTAATGAATTGCAAAAGCTGAATATTCAATCAAAGTCTATTGATTAATCAGTGAAGTAACTGACAATTAGTCAAAAGATTACAATTTTACACCTTAATGTAAAACTATTTCTTTTGTGCTTCTCTACCGATGATGGCATTTTTAGTGTTTCTCTCTGGATGTAAAAGGATGATGTAGCACTTTGGGGCAAATATGGCAAACAGTAATCCAAAACTAGAAGCTAAAATGGCAAATATCTCTACAGCAACTGCATATTTCCCTGGTGAGCTCACATATGCTGGAACAAACGCAATCCATACAGCACAGAAGATCAACATGCTAAACGTGATGAACTTTGCTTCATTAAAATTATCTGGAAGATTTCTTGCAAGAAAGGCTAACAGAAAGCTTACTGCTGCCAACAGTCCAATGTATCCCAGCAGCATAGAAAAACCAGCCACTGAGCCTATAGCACATTCATATACTATTTTAGAGCGAGTATACTGGCTGTTTTTATGTGGTGTTGGAGAGGCAGTTGATAGCCAGACTGCACATATCACAACCTGGAGGGCTGTTAGAACCAAAACTGTGCATCTTTGTTGAGCTGCTCCAAACCATTTCATTGTTCCTTTGCCCTCTGGTCGAGATGACTTGAACACGGCTATTACCACCATAGTCTTGACCAGGATGCTGGAGATGCACAGGACAAAGCTTATGCCAAACACAGCATGTCTTAACTGACATGTCCATAACTGTGGCTGCCCAATGAACAGCAGCACACACAGAAAACACAGTTTCAGTGAAGACAGCAGCAGGAAGCTGAGCTCTGAATTGTTGGCACGAACTATGGGAGTGTTACGATGATGAGCGAAGATGACCATCACAAGAGCACAGATGCAGGTACCAAGCAAAGAGGCAGTGGTCAGAGAGATTCCTAGAGGATCCTTATAAGACAGAAACTCTACTTCTTTCGGGACGCACTGGTCCTTATCCGAATTGGACCAGAACTCATCTGGACAGACCGTGCAATCAATAGCATCTGTGAGTAATAAAAAGAGAGAAGGTGCAAACTGAAGAGAACTTCACATCAAATTATGTTCCAATTTTCCAATCAATAATTTCCTCACCTGTTATATTAGAAATTTCTCCATCTCTGCATGGCAGGCAGTCAAAACAGCAGACAGGAAGGCCCTTCCTCCTGGCTTGTCTGGTGCCTGGTGGGCAGCTCTCACTGCACACAGACCTTGGGGGCTGAAAGAGACATCATCCATTATATATAAATATATTTTTTTATGTATTGTATTTTTCATCTTTTTTACACAATAACAAGCTTTTCATTCATTTATCCTCATTTGTCTTATCATAGCTTTGACTAGTATATAGACTAAACATCTGCAAAAAGGATGGCATTAAAATTTACTGTTTATTACTTTTTTGCTCTTAAAGTTCCAGTATATTGCATCCTCATCCAGCATGAGCACCATCTCTGTTGCCGCCCCTTTATTTACTACACCAACTGTGTGAATCCTTATCGATCCATCAGAGCTCGGCTGCCAGTTCATCACATCATAGATGGCCAGAGCATCTCCATTCTTATCAAATGACACGTGATCCCCAAAGCCTGTGGTGAAATTCACTTTCTGTAGGTAGTGAACCAGCTGTACAGTTTGTAGAGAGGACAAGACGTTAAATGTTTATCTGAAATTTAAAACAATATAGAGTACATATTTTGCATTTATACCTTCAGCTCTTCTATATGCCTGGAGAACATTTGCACTACACCTGTGGGTCTTACCTGCCAAGGTTTAAGGTTGGTTTTATCAGCACAACTGTTCCCACTGAATGGTCCTCTCCCCTCCTCACACTGCATCAGCTCATGAAGTGCATGTGCCAGAGCATAAACTGCCTTATAGACATTATACGCTGCTCTCAAGCCCGAAACATCAGTGTATGGTGTTTCAGTGATGCTCAGATCCTCCTGTCCTGTACACACCTTTTTCACTTGCTCTCCATCAATCGCTCTACCCCCTTTTTCAAAACTACACCCGAACATGTTCTCCCAGAAAATTCTCACTATATTGTTTTTTTGATCATTACTGGGATGGAGACGTAGAAGAAACTCACGAAGCCCCTCAATCTCTCCACGCCTGATAGCAATGCCCAGTGTGCCCCCCAGGATGGGTAGGAAACGTGGAGTGTGGTATACAGGTGAAGTGGTCCAAGCTTCACTGGCAATCCACTGTCTGCCTGTTATGTTCTGCAACACCACTTCCTCCATCAAAGGTATTAGAAAGGATGAAGTGGAAAAAACAACCACCACTCTAGCTGTTGAGGCCTGAATCACTCCTGTTATATATTGAATGTCTCTGTGGTTGTTATCATGGGGAAGGATTTCAGAAAAAGCAACACAATGTCCAAACAGCTGCATTTCCTGCTGAAATAACTGAGCAGCATAGATGCCATAATCATCATCACTGTAGATGAGACCAACCCAAGTCCATCCAAAATGCCTCAAAATCTGAACCATAGCCCGCACCTGGAAGGCATCACTGGGGATTGTTCTGAAGAAAGAGGGGTACTTTTTCCTGTCACTCAAACAGGAGCAGGTGGCGTAGTGACTAACCTAATTAGTTAGGAAAGGTGGAGAGAGAAATAAAGACATGAGACAGAGAAATAGAGTGATAATCATCAGTGCTTTTGATTTTTTTTTTTCAGACACAAGTACATTTGAAAAAAAGTGCAAAAATATGCAGATAGTGTATTTTATTTTATTTTACTTTATTCATAGCAACTTACTATAGGTACTCGAAATAGCCCCAGAACATTGGAAATTGCAATGGAAGGAGTTGAACTTGGATCCCCTACGATCCCAATGACTGGAGGAGGGCCAGTGCAGTTTAGGTTGGAGAAGGACTCCTCTGTTCCACTAGCCAGGGATATGGCAGCCCGAAATGCTATTCCTAGTCTTACACAGTTGTCATAAAGATGGTATCCAAGAGTAATGCTAGGCAGCAGCTTTGGATTCTTATTGATCTCATTTACTGCAAAAGCCATTGTCTGTGCCTGCTGGAAGATTTCTATATTGAATCTAGAATAAAAAAAACAAGTAAATGTAAAACAATATAAATGTTGACATGTAGTAAAAAGATAGTAATAATTAAAAATTAATTAATATAAGCATTAGAATACAGAAAATGCATTTGAGACTAAGCACTAATCATGGAACCCCACTATTGTGCATACCTGGTTAAATGCATAGTGGTTTCAATATAGATTTTTTATTTATTTATTAATTAATTTATTTTATTTATTTTTTTAAGTTAGCTTAGGTGAAAGGATGCAAATATAACTTAAGATTTTTTTTTTATTTATTATTATTATTATTATAAAACCTCTCTCACTCTGTTACTTTTTAAAAAAAAGTTCTGTAATCATTCTGGCCAAAGACCAGACTCACTTTTCACAGTATGGTGGTTCTGGCTCCGTTCTGAAGCTCAGTTCTGGAAACACTGTGAAAAAGTGAACATGAAATAGGCCTCCAAGTATAAAATCTCCATCCTGGTACATCCCATTCAACTTGAAACGTCCCTGGAGCTGACATGTACCTGATTTTAGGATTGAATCTGCAGAGAGACAGTTAAATGACAGGTATAGAAAAATGTACAGCATGAACCACATCTCTCTTTCTGACCCATGCAGCCACTGTACTAATTTATGATGAAGCTTGTGTGGGGTGTTCCTTTAAAAGAGCAGGCGATGCCAAGTGGGCATCCCTGGAAAGCAGGACGTCACTCTCCCATCCCTCCCAACATAGACAACAGTATTGATGGAATAAAGGACATATGCATGCACAGTGAACTGCTGTTAATTGTATAAAGACTTTTTTTTTTAAATGCTGATCTGCATGGGAAACAATAGTCTTATACCAATGACCAATTATATCTACTTATTCATGTTTTTGCATGCAAGAGTTATTTATTTATTTATTAACTGATTAATTGATTTTCAGAATGTCCTCTAGATGTCAGTCATGCATTTGACTTTTCTGAGCAATAAAACATAATGTGTTATTAGTGATAGCTTACCATGTACTGTGGTAAAGTGATGCTATCAGGTGCAAAGGTATGAAGAATGTTATTTATCAGACTAAATGATTACTGTATGCATATATTAGAGTGTGTACTAGGCAATTTTAAATGCAAAGTAATAATAATTAAAAAAAAACATGGTGTGTGCTATAATCTGTCCAAAAGCCTGTGTTTTAACAAGAAGGAATTAGTGCTTTGGTCAGCTATCATGTTAAATTAACTCCCTATTGATTGATTGATTGATTGACTGACTGACTGACTGGTTGGTTGGTTCATTCGTTCATTCATTCCAGTTTAATAATTACCAAGTAATTGGTATCAAATCACTCTCAGCTGCATTCAAAGACACTGACAAACCACCTCTGCAATGGAACGCACAGACAAGGGAGTATTACAAACAGTGAAAAGTCCCAGTACTGATAGGGCTGGCCCTTGCATTTTGGGGTTCCTAAATACAATTTCAAAAGAGGACCCCCTACCTATGGTTTCACCTAACCACCCCCATCCCCAATGTACACATCATACACTGACACCTTATTCTTTTTACTTTTTTTCCCATTTCGTTTTACCAAATTGCCTTGCTCAGTATATTTATCTTTTGAGATATAAATATAAAAAATATATTTACTTAAACAAACTTTAGCATTTTTAAAAGACTTTAACCATTGCTTTCAGAGGATATCAAAATTGTGTGAGACTAATGGTTTAATAAAGCAAAAACAATAATAAAGGACAAGATATTATTGTTATTAATGATAATAGAGAATAATCTATTTTCTGGACTGGCATGCTTTAGTACAGATTCAAATGTCTAAGTGTAAACAAGTGTTTGAAAAAAAAGATCATTTAATATTTGGCATTGTTTGATAAACACCAAAGTGAATACAAAATTCTTAATGGCTGTTTAGAAACATTTAAGTACTGTTTGACTTCCTTTTACCATTTTGAAATGAAATGGGCAGATACAAGAAAACTGTGCCTTTATTTGTGTTTCCACCAAATGCCGACCCGGGGTGTCGAAATACTATTGGGTACTCTAGCAGTGGAGAGAATCACAAAGACTAAAACAAAAAGATACATTCTGACACAGAATGCACATTTCAAGGGATAATAACTGGCTGAAGTGTCGGACTGGCCATCTGGAGCACCGGGATTTTTTTTCTGGTGGGCCGCTGTACAATGTGGGCTGGCCCATTGCATAAATATAAAGAATGAATTATAGTAAATGTACGTAGCTTATAGCCTTCCATCGGCCCAGATGAATGGCCCGCGCGGCCCACTTGAGCCAAACATTGTAATTATTTCAGCGTGCTCCGGCTCAGTGCAGTGGCTCAAAAGTGCTCGTCAATGTCAAAATGTTTAAAATAGCCAATCAAATCGAAGAAGGCGTTCACAGATGCTGAGCTGCGAGGTATTTGAATGTGAGCTGATGTAAGATGTAAGCAGCTGAATAGTGAGAAAATTCAGCGATGTTTGCCACTGTTTACGATAAATAATGTTAAATGACAGACATTAATTTTCAGAAATAAAAACTACTACTGGCATTTTCAAATTTCTTAATGCCATTTACGTTATTCGTCACAATATAAGATAAGTTGAATGTTTGTAAATCTATATGCAGGCTTCCCTTTCAAGGGAATTTTAAACTGCATCCTCTAGGGGTCGCTATGGGGAATGCCTTGTCGTGACCTGTGTCTGAAGCATACATTAAAAAAATGCGGTTCAGGATCCGCCGCTGATGAGGCACGGAGGAGAATGAGCTTGTGGGGATCGCAGGCGGATCTGGCCGATGAGTTTAAAGAGGAGCTTTCCCTCTCGCGCTCGTCGGCTGTGGACGAGAGTGAGCCGCTGGAGGATGATGTTATTTCCCTAACATAGTCTGATCCAGGGGCCAGTGCTCTGCTGGGTTCAGCCCAGGAAGAGCAGGAGATGTCTGAGGAGGGCGAACTGGCTGAGGCTGAGCCCTCCCAATCCTCCTGCCCTGTGTATGATGAGCTATTGGAGGTTATGGATCGCGCCACGGCGAGCCTTGACTTGCCGTGGAAGCGGGCCAAGAAGGTGACGTCGCGAGGTCATCTCGATGAGCGTTATCTTTCTGACCGTAGCCCTCCAGCTCAGGTGAGCCTTCCTTTTCTTCCCGATCTCCATACAGAGATCGAGCAGGAATGGAAGAGGCCTTTTTCCTCACGCATCCATCAGTTCCAGCATATGAGTTATGCCAACATCGAGGGGATGCGCGAAAGTGGCTATGAGAAGATGCCCCCTGTAGAAGAGACGCTGGCTAGCTATCTCTCTATGGGTGAGACATCCTCTCTTAAGACTTCCTCCTTGCCATCTAAGCCCCTTCAGGATAAATCTTGCTTAAATGGCAGGGCATACGCAGCAGCAGGTCAGGCTGTTGCTTCGTTGCACACGATGGCAGTGCTTCAGGCGTATCAGGCTGATCTACTGAAAGTCCTGGATAAAGGCGAGGGCCTTTCTCCCGATGAGGTAGCTGAGTTGCGCCACACCACAGATCTCGCTCTCCGTGCTACTGAGCAGGCCGCCTCTGCTATGGGCAGGTCCATGGTGGCTATGGTGGTAACGGAGAGACATCTGTGGGTGAACCTGGCAGATATAGGGAAGAAAGAGAGGGGCTTTCTTCTCGATGCTTCGGTTTCGCCTTCTGCACTTTTCGGTACCTCCGTCGAGACGGTGGTTGAGAAGTTCAGGGAGGCGAAGGCGCGCTCAGCGGCCTT